ATGAATGATAATTATAAGGGGAAGCCAGTATCGCATTATACAACCCGTGCCGTTACTCTACAGTAGTAGTAGGAAAGGAAATGTTCTTTCGTTCATCTCGATAACTCTCGTTCTTCTTAATGGCAGCGAGTATACGCAGCTCTATCGCACCAAGTGTGGACACTTTTTTTCAAAAATCACTAAAGGTCAGGAATTGACAAATTTATAATTATTTTATTTTTTTATTGTTTGCTGCATGTATCTAGCATGTTTTGCATTTTGGTTTGCCCTGCTGAGAGCGTGTTCTAATTTACTGCGATATAAAAAGCAAAAGCGTCCGGTATAAAAATGTGGCTCAACCCATTCACTGCGGTTCCCATCTTCCGAGCTGTTTCGCAACCAAGGCTCTTGCGATAAATGCAGGACACCTATCGAATCCCATGAAGCCTGCGTGACCTTTGCAAAGTTACGGCGGACACCGTCAAATACGAGGGTGACCTCGTTTGCGCCTTCGTCGAACAGCCGCCGAATGTCGCAAGCACCCATTCTTGATAAAATCTCATTCAGAAGTTATTAGGCATCCTTTTTAAACTTTTCGTCCGCACAGTAAACTTGAGACGTCCCGTTCCAGCAAGTTTAAGCAGCAGTCTTAGCTTTTTTTAGTCGTCGCTTTAATGGTTTTTTCTTCTATTCGTCCGGCACCTATACCTCCTCGCCTGGGTTGTTGATATTTGTCAACACTCTAAAATAAACTAACGTAACGCACGACTGATTCATGGAAGTTATCAGTTCGATGTCACTCAGCTCCATGTGCTAGGCAACCGCATTTCTCGGTAGGTCCTTTTTAACATAGAAGTCTATGGGAGAACCACTTTGTCCCGGGATCACCGCAAGCACTGATTATGCACGATGGTTCTGATAACGCGTAACGGACACCTTGTGGATCATTCAATAACTTCCAAAAAACTGCACGCAAAAATCTTAAGTGGTGAGACTTTTCCAGGAGCATTCATAAGCATAAAACAAACGATCGCTACCCCCTTCCCTTAAAATACTGCTGGTCTCCCTACTGGCACATCAAGACGACGTACCAAAATATTTTTAAATTTATTTTATGCAACTGTCTACACTTGGTGCGATAGAGCTGTACATTCTAGGCTTATACTACATACACGAATATTTTTTTTGGTATAGTAAAGGACTGGTGGGACCCGTCACCCGTAACACTTTTTGACTGGCAGCACAATGTGCCAAAATTCTGATTTAATACCACTAAAAGGTCATGTGTATCGGTGTATGTACGTCTATTGCCAAAGTTTCTGGAGCTTTGCTGTCTTTCCACACGTAGATGTGGCATATACAGTCGAGCAGAAATTGTTTAATAAACATATGTTCCAAAAGAGAGATTTGTGGTTTTTTAGTTTGCGAAAAATAAAGAATGCTGATTACTGGTTTTCATCTGATTAAGTACTATACTGATTAATGGTTTTACTTATTGCAATTATCTGTGTCCTTTTTTACACCCAATATAATAATATTTGAAAGTGACTTGCTAGTTACTACTTAGCCGTCCAGGGACTGAAATTCGATCACGACGAATAATTTAAAAATTAAGATTTAAAAATTAATATTTTGGTAGTGACGTAGCTCAAATAAACGGGGCTGTCACACTGTCACCAAAATTCGACCAGAAAAGGAAAATAATTTAAAAATTAGGATTTAAAAATTAATATTGTGGTAGTGACGTAACTCAAATAGGCGGGGCTGTCACACTGTCACCAAAATTCGACCAGGAAAGAAAAATAATTTAAAAATTAGGATTTAAAAATTAATATTTTGTTAGTGACGTAACTCAAATAGGCGGGGCTGTCACCAAAATTCGACCAGGAAAGAAAAATGAATTTAAAAAATGAATTTTTATTTAATTTCATAATACTTAACAATCTAACTTCAGAATTGAAAAAATAAATATAAATATAAGTTAATATTTAAATGGTATTTTTTTAAACAATTAAAATTAATAAATCCAGTTCCATTAAAAGATTTTCCATTTACAATGAAAACATTTGCCCCGAGCCTTCAGCATTATCTGCACACTGCATTAAACATTTGTGTTCGTCATTTTCTCTGAGATCTAAACGTTTTGACAGCCGTGTTTTGATCATATGAACATTTGGTTAAAAATAACTGTAGGAATCAAAGCCATACAATCAAGTCGTGGCTACAACGACAGGTGCCCTGCAGTCACCTTTAACAGTTGCGGCACAGCCAGATATCACATCCTGCATGGTTAATCTTAACAACGTCATCCTGTGAAAGACTTCTGGACTGGCTTGTAATCGTTGTAATTTGTTTCTTCTAGATGTTTATAATAAAGCCGGATTACATATCATTTGCTTTTAGCGGATTTGAGCGGCAATGGCGTTGTTGCGCCAAAGATGACAGTAAGCATCTGATCAGCACAGCTGTGTGGTGTAAGTAACGGGTTTCCAGCTTATAATGTTTGCAGAAAATTACCAGTTTTACGAGGACAAAGACAGTGGGATAAACTGGGGTGAGCTAATTAAATCGGATCCCCCATATCAGAAGGATTATCAGGAAATTTGTAATAACCGCTGGATGGTAGTTTGAGCCAACAACAGATGGTTTCGTCGTGGTGTCCGTGGTTCCCTGTCCAACACTGTCCAATCGACTGGAAGAGAATTTATCCGTTGACATGCTCTCACTTGTACGATTAAAAATGATTTTTATTCACCATTTTTGTTGCGGTGCGTGATTCTCCTTAACGTAATCATTAGTCATTATGATTTACTTTAATTAGTCTGAAAACTGACAAAAATAAATTCAGCTGAAGAGTCTTGTTCAACGCCTTGTATCTGTAGTGAAAAAAATTAAGTCAAAATCCTAATAATATGCAAAAGTCAAAAGCTGTTGGTGGATGCTTATAAAACAAATGAATTTTGATTTTGATGTTCGATACCATAATACAACTCTATTACTCAGGTAAAAACTGTACGTTTTTGCAATTCCTAAACGTTCCGTTAGATCTTTAAACGAATTACATCTAACAAAACTGAGGCCTGCTTGCAGTTCTTCCACCGGAAAAAAGTGTCAAAATAATAGAAAACTGAATAATTAAAAAAGCAATATTACGTGACCATGTAGAATACGTACAAACGGCCCCATAAGTTCGATGAAAGTCTTTATGTTGCAATTTACATTACAACCCCTAAATCCTTCGTGGCAACCTATATGCTGCTTAAGAAATAAATTCCCCTGAAGGTATTTGCATTGTACCGTTTTCCTTGATTTTCAATGCTCTAAAGCCAACATCGCATGATGCACTTATAAACCAGGAGACTGGATATGTCCATTCCGAGAAAAATTCTAAATTGGCGTTCGCGTGACCGGCATTTTACGAATCTTTAGGTCGCTGCTGATAGTGGCGACAAAAGGCGCACGTTCTCGCGCCTTAGCGTTGGTGGGCCTTTTTGCCATTTTTAAAATTTTTATGCTATTTTCCCTTTACCTTTACTTTAATTAATAATGATATTGTCTCAATATTAGAGCCATGAACAGATACTAACGGAGTTGTGATGTATTTGGGGCCCATTTGGTTCAACATGCTGTGATTGCGTCTTGATCAGTTATCATAAACGCATTTTCTCTGTATTTTAAATTTCGGCTTTTACACCTTACGAAGACGAAGTAATAATTCATTTACCGGCATGCAAGTGCATCGTCGGTCTCCGAAGTACACTGCGACGTCCCAAGATGGCAAATTCATGCATAAAAATGCAATAATTCTACGAAGCATCCGGCCTTCTCCATATCCAGAAAAACTGGCCACTTCGGGCTTTTCCCAAGCGTTTTCTACGAGAGCCTCGCCGTTGCTGAGTCGGTGTCGCCACATCAAACCACTTAACTACCGCGCAGATCTCACGCAGTCACGTTTGTCAGCAAAGGCAGCTGAAAAGTGTGCTTATTTATAACATTCGCTTGCAGCTGTGCATTTTACAAAACCAACATTGGGGCCGAACGTTCTCGCCGCAGACATGCCAGCGATGAGCGATGGGATGAACTTAAATTTTGGGGCGTTTTCAGTAATAATTTCTGCTTCGTTATTTTTTGTTTAAAATTAATGCGCACAGGTCAAAAGTACAATCTGTACTGTAATACAACTCGAAAAACTAGGAAAAAGGGGGCCAGAAGTTATATTGACTTCCGTCAACAGCAAAAGCGTCATTAGATCAATAAAAGGTGAATCCAAAATAAAAACAAAACATGTGCATACTAATATTGTAGTCATCGATTCACAATCATTTGTTTCTCCTCACAAAGTAATTACGGGCAGGACATACATTCTAAGAGCGGAATTTTTTAAATATGGTGCGTGCTTTTTGCTCGCCAGTATATTTTGTAATGTCCACTAACTGCCATAAACCGCAGATGAAATGCTGTCTCGGTTAATAAAAAATCATTTCTCTAGGAAAAAACGTAACCCACATCAGAGAAAACTATTTAACAAATATGACGTATTAGTCAATACCAAATACAGTAATTTGTGTTACATTGATTTCCCATTTTCCCCCAATCGAGGGAGCACCCAAATACTGCACGCTGGAATGCCGCCGGCGTCCACTGCTCGCTGTCTCGCCGGTTTTAAACCATATTTCCTCACCAGATTCAGTAATCAAGCTAATAGCGTTCGGTCCGAGTGGTCCGAGTAGCAAAAAGTTTACAGTTTTCTCCTACAGTTTAACTGACGACACTGAACATGCGCTTCCGATTTAGTTAAGCCCCTCCTGGCATTTGTACCGCGAAAAGCAGGAACAACAATCGTTTACCGCGAATTTCTGCCGCAGCAGTTTTCCAGTGAAGTGTCTTGGTCAGCAACCACCCTCGATTCGGCAAAACAACTTTGTTGCTGAATACTAGCCGACATCGTGCCACACATGATGGTCACCAGAATATAAAGCGCTTCCATGCAGATTTTGTCTGTTTCCAGTTTTACATTATAATAAGCATTGTTAATTGACAAATCGCTTTGCGGAATATTACCATTGACAGTCAGCCTTTGCTCTCTAAATGCATATCATTTGGCTAGCTGGCATTGCGGTGATGATCATTGGGGTAAGTCCTCTCTCACTCTATGATCCGGCAATACTTTATATTCGCACAAGCGCAAGCTTTATTCAGAGTTAATACTGCATTAATAAGAGTGCGTGTTATTATTTCCATAGAGCGTCGATTCGCGACCCAACTCCATACCGTCGAATCCGTTGCTGACTCCAGCTAACCGTTTTAAACGCCAGTGGGGGTTTGTGCCACCAGAAGCATTTGCTACGATTAATCGGTGGGTGACCCAATCAACGACAGAGCCGCCAAGACCGACGTGTCCGGTAATTTTTCCAACTTCCGAGTTGTTTTTTACCAAGCGCCATAAATAGCGACTGTCTAGTCATCAAGCTTTATTAATATTTCAGCATACGGAGTAAGCAAGTTGTTTTAACTTTCGAGTGACCGGCACAGTGCATTAAGCAGTTTTCGTCATGATCTCTGGGATCTGTATTCTGTTTGGCAGCCTTGTTTTCATCATATTATGAACATTCTGATAATATTAGCGAAGGAATATAAGCAATACAGCTGTGCATACACAACAGGGGCCCTGCAGTGACCTATAACTGTAACGGCACAGCCATCTATCACATTTTGCAGAGTTAATCTTAACAACGTCATCCTGTGAAAGACTTCATGACCGGCTTGTAACCGTTGTAACTTGTTTCTTCTAGATGTTTGTCCCAATGCCGGGTTACATGAGTTTTACGTCTTCCAAAGTTGAGTGGCGTTGTTGCGTCATAGACGACAGTAAGCATCCAATTAGCACAGCTGTGTGGTGTGAGTAACGGGTTTCCAGCGAATAATGCTTGCAGAATACTTCTATATTTACGAGGATAAAGTCAACGGGAAAATCTGGGGTGAGCCAATTACCCCGAATACCCCATTTTACGCCGGCGTTTATGCCACTTGTTATCACCACTGGAATCCATTTTGAACCAATAACAGATAGTATCGCCGTTGCGTCCATGGCTCCCTGTCCGACACTGCCCAATCGATCGGAATAGAATTTATCGGTTGATATGCTCTCGCTTGTTCGATTAAAAATGCTTTTTATTCACAAAGTGGCGTCGTAATTCCATTTTTGTTTCGGTGCATGCTTTTCCTTAATGTAATCATTATAATTTACTTTAACCCGCCTGAAAATTGACCAAAATAAATTCAGCTGACGACTCTTGTTCAGCGCTTTATATGTAGAAACAAATTAAGTCAAAACCATATTAACGCTTAAAAGTCAAAAGCTGTTGATTGATTGATTTTCCCGTACACAAACTGTGTGGTACAACTTGATGGAGACGCTACAGTAACTGATTTAAATTTTAACAATGCCGAAAAAACAGTCAAATATCATTAGCGTGATAACAAAGCTGAGGACGCACATTTTGCGTGTTACAAAAATTGTATTTCTTGGTAAAATTTGTCTATAATGCCCTATACCGATACAGAAATTACTGATGCGTATTAGCATATGCAGTAATGTACTGTACAGTCTACACAAAGCATCTCCCGCGAAACCCACATATTCCGTTATATTCTCGATACCCCAATGGAAAAAAAGTGGAACACACACGGAAATGCGTTCTAAAAACCAAAGTTTATGGCAGAAAAACTGAGCTCAGCTGCTCTGGTAGATGGCGCTGACGACTGGACGGTACCGGATGTACGCGTATAGTCTCGACACTTTGCTCGATATTTACAACACACGCAGTGACTAATTTTTGAGTGCTATCTGTACTTCTACCGCAAAAAGCTGGAACCTCGGTATCTTACCGGAAAATTCACGACCATACAATATGCTACCTACCATGTGAAGTGGCTTCGTCAGCTAGTTCCTTTAATTCGGCAAAATTAATTTCATTCCGTGTAAAACATGACCACGGCGTATAAAGCACCACTCGACATTATATCATGCACTTACGAGTACATGCAAAGTATGTGTCTGAAGATCTGCAGCCTGTTAACGGCAAAATTATTTTTAACGGGAGAGTGATATTTTCCGGATAACCACCGTTGACTGCCACACTATTCCAATGCGTATTGTCTGGCTAGTTGTCATTGCCGGCATATTCAGTGAGTCCGTGGTACGTGCTCCATCATTCTATAATTAACTTTCACTTTACATCACCTTACTTACATCCGCATTAACGTAACCTTGACATTGTTTACAATGCAAGGAATGCGTTTTATTTCGCCACTTCTTTAGAGCGCCGATATCGGAACGCTCGACGCATCGCCGGGCATTCGGCATAGTCTGTCGCTGACGCCGGCTCGCCGCTATAAACGCAATATGTCTGCGGTCACTGCGGTAACTACGGTACCGGCGGTACCGTCGTCGGCAGAAATTTTATCCGTAATATGGAGTGAGCCGCCTGTCGCAGCTACTGAAAATCCGACTGTCGCAACTACGGAAGAAACGACTATCGCAACTACGGAACAGCCAACAACAGTGGATATTTTGACGCACATTCACCAGATGTTACCCCCTGACGCTCAGTTCACAGGCCCATTCGTATAGACTACAGATATGTTATTAGTATGATATACTGTACTGGGAATCATAAAATTTTAATAGAATTACGTAAAACTGCGGACAGAGGTAAATGAGATGTTGCTTTTGGGTTTATCGGCGTAGCTCATTAGACAGATGCGTTTTTATTTTCTTTTAAAAAAACACCTGAGCCTGATGCTGGATTTTGGTCGTATATGTTTACTGGCTTGCTTCGTTAATAAGCTACAAATATTCCATTTTTTTAACGCGGCTCGCGAGTATAACCGGCGTGTATATTGGTTACAGCGTAGGGCATATTAAAAGCGGAAATCAACCAGTCGGCCCGCTGATCGAAACACAGTAAAACACAATGTGCAACAGGAGTGCATTGATCATATTATGCATGTAAATCACCAGAAGTAGGTTTGAAACGGAACGCCCTTGTTGGCGAATTATGCGCAGTTTCAGTATTACAAAAACTGCACACTTTTAATTTCAACGCGTATAAAAAAATTGCGTTCGCTTGGTTGTACGACACGATGACGGTAAGCACCGTGGGCAAGATTTACAGCCGACGTTCTTTTGAATAGGCGGACCGTTTTGACGTACCGTGTGCGACCGTATATCTCAAGCACGCAATACACTGTGCAATTTACGCCATACAAAATAATCTTCGTGCCGCGAAAGCTGGAACCATTGACAGTCTCTTCTTGGCTGTACTTTTGAAGTAAGTGGCTTCGTCAACGATTGGATTCGGCAAAATTACTTCGTGGCGTAAAATATTATGTTGGCCAGAATCTTCTTGTTAGTTAACAATATTTCAGGTTACAAAAAGCCCTTTTTTTTAAATTAACGATTGCTAAGATCAGCACGTCCTTTTGTTCCATACCCGTGGGCGCGGAAACCTAAGGTTCACAAACAGCAGTTGATGGCGTTGCCGTCCGAATATTCAAGCCTAATCGAGCCAGCGGAAAAGCCAACAGCAGCGAAATACGCGGTACTGCTTAGTCAATTAATTTTCCTAGACGAATTCGCTTTGAGCTGTTCTATCCGACTCCGCATGATAGGTTACGGTCTAGATCCTACAATAGGTTTCTTGTCTAGGTAGCAAAATCCTTTCGTATTTGGATAGTTTGCGTACACACTATAACTCATACAATCATGATGGACAAACACACACAAACGACACTTTTGGAAGTCTGAATACACGTATGGACGAATAAAAGTGCACTCAGTTTATATTGTTTCGCAATATAAAAGATATGGGATGCGAGACATTCATGACAAAAAAGCTCTACAGTGTCCCTTGAAATGGTTCTCTCAAAGGTCTGATCAACTTCACCATAAAATTTGTAAACACTGGCCAGAAAGTGCTATCTGTACTGTATGATCAACTCGAATAAAACAAAAGAAGGGCGGAAGTTATAACGACTTCCGCTAACAGCGGAAACGTCATTAAATCCATGAAAGGTAAATCCACAATGAAAAACTGTGCATGCTAGTAGCCATCGATTCACCATCACTGGTTTCACAAAACATAATTGTTTTAGGACTGGCTCAATCCGTACCAAGATCCTGTTGTTGCGCCGCAACAACAGGGCTTATAAGCCGCAACACGCAGCAACGGGCCACAACCAGTGCCAGCATGTGTGCTGGACTGGGCTGCTGCAACGCCGCAACAGCCGCAACACGGCTTATAAGCCGCAACACGCAGCAACGGGTGTGTGTAGGACATATATCCTAAAAGCTTAATTTATTACTTATGATGCGTGCTTGTTGCTCGCCAGCACATTTTTTGCAAGTTCACTAATTGCATTAACCGCTATCCGAGTGCATCTAAATGCTGCTCTTCCTTCTCTAAATGTAGGCATGTACTGCTTTCTCCGATTTTATACGCAAAATAATTTTTTTGGCAAAAACGTAAAACAAGAGGAAAATAACTGGCTTCGAAAAACTGTTTACAAATTAATACGTATTCGGTAATACCAAATACAACACTTGGTGTTACAGTGATTTTCCCCAACCGAAAGAGGACCCAAATATTGCACGCTGGACGCTGGATATGCCGCCGGCAGTCACTGCTCGCGTCTCGCCAGTTTTAAGCTTTTTTTTCTTACCAGCTTCCGTAATCCGGCTAGTAGTTCTGGACCGAGTGATCCGAGTAGCAAAACGTTTACAGTCTTCTCCGACAGTTCAACTGACGAGAATGAACATGCGCTTCCGACTGAATTAAGCGCCTCCTGCCATTTGTACTGCGAAAAGCTGGAACAACAATTTACCGCGAATTTCTGTCCCGGCAGTTTTCAAGTGAAGTGGCTTGGTCAGCAACCACTCTGGATTCGGCAAAACTACTTCGCTGCTTAGAATACCAGCCGACATTGTGCCACACATAGTAGTCACCATAATATAAAGCACTTTCATGCAGATTTTGTTAGTTTCCAGTCTTGAATTATAATAAGTGTTGTTAATTGACAAAGTCTGCCAAGGATATTTTGCGGACTATTACGATTGATTGTCCCACCTCTGTGATCCAATGCATATCTTCTGGCTAGTTATTATCCCGTGTGTTATGATAACTGCGGTACGTCCTCCCTCGCTCTATGATCCTGCAATACGTTGTATTCGCCATAACGAAAGCTTTATGACAAAATAAACGTGATAATTATTTGTTGACCCTTTTATAGAGCGTCGATACGAGACCGGACACCATACCTTCAGGCATTCGTGAGAATCCGTCACTAACGCCAGCTGACCGCTTTAAACGCCAGATACCGTATTTATCAAAAGAAGCATGGGCGTTGTGGAATCAGTTGGCGACCGCAACAACGACAGAACCACCAAGACCGACGTGCCCGGTAATCTTTCCTCAACAAAATCTTTGAGTTGTATTACCAAACTCCATACATAGGGACTGTACAGTCACCAAGTTTAATGTATATTCTATAATCCGGGGTAAACAAGTTGCTTTAACTTTTGGGTTACTGGCACAGTGCACTAAACATTCCTCTTCGTCATTCTCCTACGTATCTATTTGCGACAGTCGTGTTTTGATCATATGAACATTTGGGTAATAATAATTGTAGGAATAAAAGCAATACAGCTGTGGGTGCAACGAAAGGTGCCCTGTGGCTGCATTGACCTTTAACGGCACCGGCACAGCCAACTAGCACACTCTGCATGGTTAAGCTTGACAACGACGTCATTCTGTGAAGACTTCGTAACAGGCTTTTAAACATTATAACTTGTTTCTCCTAGATGTTTACCCCGAAGCCGGAAGGCATGTCATTTGACTGGACTCCATTGTTCGGGCGGTACAAGTGTTGCGTCAAAGACGACAGTAAGCATCTGATCAGCACAGGCGTGTGGTGTTACTAACGGGTTTCCAGCGTATTGTGTTTGCAGAAAAATACATGCTTTACGTGGACAAAGAAAATGAGGTAACGTGGGGTGACCTAATTAACCCGGGTCCCCAACATTACAATGACTATCGCAAGGTTTGTCTTGACCGCTGGATGAAAGTTTAAGCCAACGGCAGATGATATGGACGGTGTTTCCGTGATTCCCTGTTCAACGTTGTCCAATCGACTGGAAGAGAATGAATCGGTTGATATGCTCACACTTGTACGATTAAAATGGTTTTTCCTTACAAGGTGGCGTCGAAATTCCATTTTGCGTGATGCTCCTTAACGTAACCAATATACAGTAATGTCGTTTAACCCGCTTCAAAACTGACAAAAATAAATTCAGCTGACGAGTCTTGTTCAACGCCTTGTATCTGTAGTGAAAAATATTATGTCAAAATCATAATAATGCTCAGAAGTCAAAAGCTGTTCATGAATGCTTATAAAGCAAATGAATTTTGATTTTGTATCTGTAGCTAGATTCCGCCACACACTTAGATACATTAATGCAACTTTATTATTCAGCTAAGATTGGTGCGCTTGTACAATTTCTATACGTTCCTTTAGATCTTCAAACGAATTACAAAAGTACATTTAGTTTGCTCACAAAATTCAGGCCTGCGTTCAGTTTTTACACTAGAAACAAGTGACAAATAGAAAAGTAAATCAGTAGATACACTATTACACCGTATGTGACAATGCAAAATACATACAAATACAATTAGCCGCGTACGCCATCCATTCGATATTTATGTTGTAATTTGCATATTATCCTTCGTGGCAAACTATCTGCTGTTTAGGAAATAAATATAAATTCGCCTGAAATTATTTGTTTTCCGCCTTTTCCTTTGAAATAAGTAATTTCAAAGACAAAATCACATGCTGCACTTATAACCAAAACAGAAAGATATGGAAATTCCGCGTAAAATGCTGAATTAGCGTTTGCGTGGCTGGCTTTTCCGTATCCCTGTCGTTCGTGATGGCGGAGACAAAAGGCGCAAGTTCTCGCGCTGGTGAAAGGATTGAAGCCGTTTTGCCATTTTTAAAGTTTTTCTGGCTATTTTCCTTATACCTTTTCTTGAGCTTAATAATGGAGTTGTGTACGATGCCCTCGTATTTGTAGCCCTTTTGGTTTAACATGCTGTGACGGCTTGCTGACCATTTATCCTTACCGGGATAACACTGCAAATTTTTCTACCGTATATTGTAAATTTCGGCTATGGTTCTCCGCCTTACGAAGACGATCATTTACTGCAAATAACTAAATTAATATGTGAGACTAATTAATTTTAGCGTGTGATATTGACCTTTGTAATGCTCGGTGTTCCGTCTTACATTTATTTGTCAACAGCCCATAAGAAAAAGCCGACGCTGTCGATGTACGTAATTAAACTGATTTTAAATTTCGACAATGGAAGAAATGTCAAAATATTTAGCGTTATCTAAAATATAAGTATGCGAATTTATTGTTCCAAAAAGTGTACCTCGTGGTAAAGTTGGCCTACAGAATATCCATACACAGCATCTCTCGTGAAACCCGCTTATTCCTTGATACTCTGACTCTCGATATTCTTAAAGAAAAAATGTGGATAAAGACAGTAAAAGGTGTTCTAAAAAAAGTTTAATGCAGCAAAACTGAGCACAGCTGTCTGGTAAGGCACCCGGACGACTGGACGGTGTCCGATGCAATTGTATAGTCTTGAAACATTTTCTTGATGTGAATTACGTGGTGACTCATTTTTGGGTTTACCGCGAAAAGCTGGAACCGCGGTATCTTACCGGAAAATTCACGGCCATACTTCATGCTAGCTACCATGTGAAGTGGCTTAGTCAGCTAGTTGTTTGAATTCGGCAAAATTTTCTCTTTTCTTGTAAAACATGACCATGGCGTATAAAAGCCCACCTAGTAATCATAATATGAAGCACTTTCATGCAAAGTACGTGCCTGTAGGTCGGCAGCCTATAATGATTAACGGGCGAATAATATTATACGGACAATTACCATTGATTACAACTACAATGCATATCGTCCGGCTAGCTGTCATCGCGGGCATGATCGGTGTGTCTGCGGTACGTGCTCCGTCATTCTATAATTAATTTTTACTTTATATCCGCATTAAAGTATCCTTGACATCGTATACAAGTGCACAGGAAATGCGCTTTCATTTGTTCACATCTTAGGGAACGCTTGACGCATCACCAGGCATTCAATACGATCCGTCACTGACGCCGGATAGCCGCAGCGTGATGGTAAATGTGCCGATTGATGTTGAACTTCTATCCGTAATATGGAGTGAGTCCACTGTCGCAATTACGGAAAAACCGACTGTCGCAACTACGGAAGAAACGACTATCGCAACCACGGAACAGCCGACAACAGTGGATGCTTTGACGCACATTCACCAGATGTTACCCCTGGCGCTCAGTTCACAGGCCCATTCGTATAGACTATATCACGATAATTATACTCGTAATCGTCAAATTCTAACAACATGTTATGCGAAAGTGCGGACAGAGGAAAATGGTTTTGCTTGTAGGTTTAAAAAAATACAAAAAAACAACAATAAAGTTATAAAATATAAACCTAGTTAAAAGCCTAGTGTTGGGCAAATATACGTAGAAGACAAACCTGAAGTTATTTGCCGTTTTATTCGCAGTTCACAATATTTTGGTGACCCTTCTGTATTTGTTGTACGCAAAAATAGTTTATAGGACGGATTTTGTTTTACACATGTTTTCTAAAATCACCGGCTGCTCTTAATCAAGAAACTACAGCCTGTATGTATATTTCGAGAAGCGTGTTGGTTTAGCGTTTGCGTAGCTGGCATTCTCAGAAGCCCTTCAGAAAACGTCGTTTATGCTAGTGGAATCAAGAGTAGGCTAAGGCTGAGCAGCTGGCTAACCTGCCGTGATTCGTGACAGACATTATTACCGCGGATTTCTTCCCCCACTGCCGAAAAGCTGTGCAACAATGTGTGAACTGCTTTATTCAATAAAACTGAACCGCGAAAGCGTTTTTAATGTAAAATCGGAGTGCATTCTGTACAAAGATAACGTACGTGTGCTTTGCTTTGCCATCAAAATAAGCACTGCGACTTGCGGATTTTTTTGTAACTGTTATGTTTGGTTCTTGCCGCCCACGCGCACAACCAGAGTCTCGGCAGTGATAACTCGCGGATTCAGTTATTTACTCTACGGTAGACAAGCTTTTTCATTAAATCGCGCTGTGAGGATAAAGCGGCTCACGTACAGCAATAAAGTCTTTCAAATGATTTCATCGTATTGCGCCGTGGTGGCATGGTACTGCCTACGCGGATCTAACGACGTAGCCGGGGTTCGATTCCCCCATTGGTGCGTTTTTCAGCCGTTTCTCGGTTTCCCTCGGATTGCGCCCTGCTGATAGCGCTAAAGCAATATCGACTAAGTCCCAGCGCACGTCTCAGCAATAGACTGCCGCATGAAAATCTATAATACACAAAATGCATATGAAAATCTATAATACACAAAATGCATATGTGCATCTCTTTGATATTTTTTATCCATCCAAGATATCTTCTCTCTTAAAATCTCAAGAATCTGCAGCCGTTTTATATGGTGAGTAATAATATTTCGAGCGTACCATATACGCGTAATGCCAAAAGCTCCAAGTGGTAACAAAAATATGCGAAGCAACATTTGCGTTGTCAGATATGACACAGAAGCAGATGGAAAATGGGGCTAATAGCCTTTATTGTGAGAACAATAAAGCAACAACAAAACAAAAACCAACAGAAAACCCGATGTGGGAAAAAGCTGTGGAAAAAAGTGCCTGCAGTGCGCTAGCTAGGAATCGTGATAATGATTCCGCGTGCTGCCGGTGTGCAACAGCTGATGCTGCAAAGCACGGAATCGCCCGTAGGCGCTGGGCTCCACCCCCAAGAGTGCAAGGAAATGCGCTGATTGGTCAGCGTAGACAAAGTGTACGCTGAGTAAGCAGCGTAATGTAGCGGCACGAATGGCGTTGCCATGTGCGGGCGGGCGACAGAGAAAGCCACGAGAGGTGTCTACCGCCTCGAGTGAGCGGTCTCTGACATGCCTCTGGGCGGGAGTGGGAGCTCCTGCGAGCACCTTCCGACTCTGCCCCTGGCCAACCCGGTAGGGTGCCAGGATCCGATACCCGGTAGGGCCGGATGCCACTTTGTCTCTAAACCCGGTAGGGTCGCTTCCTCCAGACCCGCGGTGCAGTGCACCGAACGGCCGAAATCTGGAGTGCACTCTGGTTGCAGGGGGTTCCAGTGGGGTTTGAAGGCTTGGTTGGTCGAACAAGTAAAAAAATAAAGTTTATAAGGCTCGTAGGTTAAACATCGAAACAAAAAGATCACAATTCCGGTGAGAATTAAAGAAAGATCAAAGTTAGAGATCCCACAGCCAATTCCTTTGGTTAATGGCTAAATAAAAACATCATCTTTGGTTAATAAAGTCTAGAAAAACCAGGTTTGGTTAAAAAAAACTAGACAAAACAAAAGGCTTATTCCGACTAGGTATACCACAGGGCCGCATTTGTCCACGGGGGTCCTAGTCAACGGTCCGCTTTATCCGATAGGATATGTCTGATCCTGTGAATCCGGGGCGACGGTTCCCAGAGATGTCCACAGGGGTCCAGTAAAGTAAATCCAGCGGTGCGGTGTATGGAAGGCACGGTTGCATGCGCAAGGACCGGTTGTCCCCTTCCTGATTATGGTGGACCAAGCCCGGTTGGGCGGTCCATGGTGGGCCAGAGTGATGTCTCTGGACAGGAGAGGTACTCCTGTGACCGAATTAGTATGCTTGGACCGATTCCGTTTGGATGGCCCATATGGGTCTCTAACTTGGACCGGTTTTGGCCTTGCATGCCGGTTTGGTCATGCGCCTAGGTCCAAAAATCTTCTAAGTCCAGGAGGGCCATAATGGAAAAATTTCTAAGTCCGAGGACCAAGTGGTGTAATGGACCAAACCCGTTGGGGCGGTCCAAACTCGGTCTCTGACATGCTCTGGACCGGGATACAGGGTTCCGGAATGGTATGGCCTTGCTTCCAGCCTTTGGAGGGGAGTGGGTCCTGTATAACCGGTTTTGGCTCTCCGATGTGGACTTAGTCGCTTTTTGATGAGCCACGTCATTGGACGGGCCAAAAGACTTAGTCGATTTTCCGACTGTCCGCGGTTGATGGCGGGCCAAATGGACTTAGTCGTTTTTTCGACGGTCCAAGGTGTATGGCGGGCCAAAAGGACTTAGTCGTTTTTTCGACGGTCCAAGGTGTATGGCGAGCCAAAAGGACTTAGTCGTTTTTTCGACGGTCCAAAGTTGATG